CTTGTTCCCAGGACATTATCTCAGGTGTGAATCCAGGATTTCCTAAAACAATAAAGACCAACAACCCAGGAGTCCTCCAAGCAGCCAGACACAGTGTTGAGAAGTTCAACAACTGCACAAACGACAAGTTCTTGTTCAAGGAGTCCCGCATTACAAGGGCCCTAGTTCAGGTAACGGTCTGGGTTCTGGTCACATGTCACGAACAGCCCTAAGCAGCTGAGTTGCTACCATGCGACACCTAGGCGAGCAGGGCGAATGTAATGTGAAGTCGCTCCTGAGTGCAGAACTCTGGGCAGAAAGCAGATGCATAAGGGGTTGGAGTGGACAGCGGCAGCCGAGGCCAGCATCCCCCAGGGCAAGGCACAAAGGTTACACAAAGCACACGGCTCCCCGGCAGTTACCAGGCCCCTGGCCCAGAGCCCACTAGGCATGGGGTAAGAAGGCGCCAGGGCCCTAATGGGGCTCCTGGAGGTGGGCGCCAAGGCTGACGGGGGAGAAAGCCACTGTCCGAGGAGCTGTCCCTGCTGGGACCAGGGTCCCCATCTGGCCTCACCCCTCACGTGCCCTGCAGCCCAGAAGTGTCCTTGCCACTTTCCCCCTGGAGTGCTCACTCACATCCCAGAGTCCCAGAGCTCTGCCCAAGCCACTGCCCTTTCTCCGACTCATTTTTACTGTGCCTGCTCAGCACCCTCCCTCCTAGGGGACCCTCTGGGACACAGCCAGGCCTTGCTCGTCTGTGTCCTGAGAACACCCACTTGCTAATGTGGGACACAGGCTGTGGATGACACCCACCACCGCATGCTGGCGCCTGGAGGGAAGGGACAGAAGCAGCCCTGTCCAAGGCAGTCTTCACAGTGTTCATGGTTATGCTGGGTCACAGGTCGGGGTGATTTTTATAACCTAATTATTTCTGACAATTGCAAACTTGTGAAGGGCAGCATGCTTTCCTATGAGAAGCGCGCTACAGAAGGCAGTATGGCGTGTAGCCAGGGTCGTCACTCCACAACCTGGCCTGAGTGACGCAGGCCCTCCCTCCTTCTCCGGGAGGCCAGCAGGATGCCCTGGGCCTGAGTCCTCGGGGTTCTCTGGGAGGGGGCTTGGAGGTTGTCCCTCTCCAGCTTGGCGATATTGGGGACCACGTAATTTCCCTAGAGCTGAGACTAAAACCTGAGGAATTTTTCTTCAACTCCTCCGAGACCACAAATGAGAAAGAACCAGGCGGCTGCCATATCCAAGTGGAGAAGGGCTGTCCAGAAACTCAAAACTTCCAACCCCAGGAATGGGGAAGGGAAGCCCACAGACCCCAGGCCTGACACAGAGGCCACAAGAAACAGCCATCATGGGGCTGGAGTGAGGGCTGCAGGGCGGGCTCAGCAGGGCATGCAGGAGACCTAGTGTGACATCCCTCCTGAGTGCAGAGCTCTGGGCAGAAAGGAGACACCTGTCTCAAGAAGGGGCAGAACCCCAGCACGGGCAGGGAGGGGAGTGGGAAGGGTCTGCAGGCTCTGCCGTAAGCCAGAAGCATTGCCCCAAGACGCCAGCCCACTTCCCTTCTCCTGGGTGGGCACCTGCACCACTGTCTTGAGGCCCCGCTTGCTAGTGGAGGAGCCTGCCCTCCCTCCCCTGTGCCCACTAACCCAGCCCCTTTGCTGCCTACAGATAGTGAAAGGCCTGAAATACATGCTTGAGGTGGAAATTAGCAGAACTACCTGCAAGAAAAACCAGCACCCGCGTCTGGACAACTGTGACTTCCAAACCAACCAAACATTGAAGCGGGTAAAGCAGCAGGCCCTTCTCTCAGATGCGCCCTCTCTTCCCAGCTCACTCCCTCCCAGGGCTGTGAAAAACACCCTGTCACCATTTCTCTAACACAGCACTCCAAACCTCACCCCTGAGGAAGCTAGGCCTTCCGGACTCCCGCATGACCAAGGATCCGGGAGAACAGGAGGTAGAGCCTGTGCCAGGAGTTCCTCAGACGACATCCTCCTGTCCTAGAGGCGGAGACACAGCTCGGGAAGAGCGTCCTGGGGTGCGGGTGGAAAGGGTTAGAGTAAGAAAAGCTTTCAAACAATCCAGAAATTATATATATATATCATATACATGTATATGATATATACGATAGATATCATATATAGCATATCTCTGCAGAGAGAGCAAGAGAAAGGAAACATGGCAACATTCAGCAATTATAGAGGTGAAAAGCATATCTTCTTAAATCATTCAAGTTTTCTGTAGGTTTGAAATTTTTCAAAATGAAAACTAGGGGCAGGAGAAGAGCTCCTCTGTGAGGAGCACCCCTCCACGGGCAGAGGGCTCACCAGGGAAAGTCTGAGCTCTCAGGTGTGCCCTTCTGTTTCAGACTCTGAGCTGCTACTCTGAAGTCTGGGTCGTGCCCTGGCTCCAGCACTTCGAGGTGCCTGTTCTCCGTTGTCACCGACCCCCGCCTCTTCAGCAAGACCACAGCCATGACAAACACCAGGATGCGTGCTCCCTGTCCACTCCCACCCATCTCATGACCGGCCTCACAGACCCTCTCAGGCCTCTGACGAGTGAGCAGATGAAGTGCCGCTGGGTCTCTGCAGGGCAGCTGGAATGGGAGCATGGTAGAGCCTCCTAATAGATTAAATAGATCACATTTGCTTCTAAAATTAACTCCTGTTTCTGAGGCTGCACACCTAGATTCCGGGTCTGGGTGCAGGGGACTGAGTCAATGGAGGGAGTTGTGAAAGTAAGGGATGAGCCCCCGTGGCTACAGGCCCCCAGGAGAGCAGGGTACAGCTCTGGGTCTGAATCAGCAGCAGAGCTGTGGGCAGGGACCCCGTTGGCCACTGGGCACCTTGGCCTGTTGTGATGAACACAGCTGGGAATCAAGATGAACAGCGAGCAGCAGCCATGCTGGCCCTTTTAGGGGAGCATCGGGAGGTGAGGCAAGCCTTACCAGGGATCCCCTTTACCAAGGGTTCTGACAAGTTGAAATTACTTCCTCTGGGGGCCTGAGCAGCCTGAGCTGCTAGCTATAACCCTCCAAAGGCCAAAGCCCCAGAAGAGGTGAGCTGTCCACACCAGGAGCAGCAGGGCCACGGCTGTGCCTCCCTGAGGTTCGGGCCTCGCAGGGACTTGCCCTGCTGCCTGAGTGGGGGCAGAGCAGCAGACCACTCTCCAGAGCCCTCCAGAGAGGGCGCCCCACTGAAGATGACTGTGCTGGGCGTGCAGGAGGAGGGAGAGGCCGCCGAGGGCTGGAGGGCACCAGGATTGGAAGAAGACTGGAAGAAGTGTCAGACTGGGCCACCTTGAGACCTGGGCACCCCAGAGGACTCTGCTGTGCAGCCAAGGTTTGAGTCAGTGCCCTGCCATGATCCATAGGTTGCGGGGGCACTGCACAGCCAGCCGCTGTCACCCTTGCTCCCAGCTTCACCCGTGCGTTCTCCAGTCACATCCCCAGGAGGCTGGCTCAGCTGTGCTAGCTGTGACTCTGGCAGTCACTAACCTAACCCTTCGGAGCCTCAGTTCCCATTGGTACAATGAGGCCATGTCTTCTGGAATCATTAAGAGTCAACATATGTGAACAACTTTCAGAACTACAGACCACTCTGCAAGTGTAAGCTGACGATAAAAATCTCAAACTGAGATCTCTGTCCTATGAAATGTAATAGCTGAATCTTGATGGAGTTTCTGTAAGGGATAACAGAGGCACACGATGAGTTACCCGATTAAGAGCATGTTAGTAATTCACCTTAGAACGAATCCCTTTTATGTTTACAGCAAAAGCATATCACAAATTTAAACCTAATAAGAAGACTCTATTTCACACCTCACCATGTCAAATTACCAGATAAAACACAGGAAATGACACTTGGAGACAGAAAATCAACAGCTAAGTCAAAATCAAGACTCCTTTGCTGAAAACTGTGAATAACAGTTTGCCAGCTTCTTTATATTTGTGAAAATTACGCACTGAAAGCAAAGCTCTCTGTTCTCAATTTGAAAAGGGAAGTCTACCTATAAGCCCAGTACATTTACATTGTTTGTATGACAGAATGATTAGGTATTATCTTACTTTCTTTGCATACTTGACATACAATGTACATCACTTGTTACTAAAAGTATTTCTAATGACCACTAATTTTCTTTCCTATAGAGTCACATAAAAAATTTTGAGTTGTTCATCTGACACAATGTGGGTCACACCAACTAGACAGAATCCCATCTTTGCCTCTGTCCTACTGGTGCTGCCCCCAGGAGCCAGCCTCGAGAAGGGGGGACACACAATTAACCATCAGACCCCCTGGCTCTCTTCCCCAACATGAGGCCTGGCCAGTGCTGGGAGAATTAACCATCAGACTCCCAACTCTCTTCCCCCAACATGAGGC